TGGTAAGTGGATACTGTGGCTCATAAACTTTTACATTTATCCTCGATGAAGACTCAAAATGCAGATGCGTTGTCACCCCTGAGGACGAAGATGGAATGGCTCGTTTACATTAAATAGGATCTCCAGTTCTCTACATTTACAATACGAAACATAGCAGCATTAAGCTGCTATTTTACGTTGGTATTGTTTGCGAACGTGATCTTACCCCGGTCGAGCCAACCAACTCGTGCTACCACCATAATATAGATGCAGCTTGACAGCACGTAAATTCCATTGATGACTGAAATGAAGTCAAAAATCTAGTAATTTCATATAGTAATTTAAAAAATCCCAGTGTCTCGGAGTGTCCGGGCGTAACTTTAAAAAATAAAAATAATATTCGTTAATACCCATTGAGCTATTATGTACTACGTACTAGAGGCGACACTGCATTCAGCTACTCTGTTCCACTCAACTGCGGTGCATACACCGCACTTTAATCAGTCACTCGCTAGGCGCTTGTGGAGTTGTCACGTGTTGTGTTGATTTAAAAAAAAATCTCTTGATAAAAATATGCCGTCGTGTGTACTTAGATATTGTACAAATAATTCAAGAAATGTCAGTAAAAACCAAGGAATTACTTTTCATCTATTAATAAGATACTTAATCAATAAAAAAAGTATTAAGAATTAATAATAAAACAAATTATTCCTATGACGCCATCTCGTGTCATGGAATATAGATTATGAAATTAATATGTTCAGATGCGACATTTCTGTAGGCACTTAACTATAGGACGAATATATTATTATACACATTTTTAGAAACATATATAAGTTATTATAATTAGGTTAAATTTTTCGTGTTTAAATTCATCTATAGCCACATCACAGTAATAATCGTCCATTTTTAACTCTCATCCCAACATAAAATCTTATTCTAATTTAAAAAAATAATTAAAGTAGTAATAAGTTTTGTTAACATACATTCATCATGTTTTTTTATATTTGACATAGATACCTTTTAAAATATTCACATAAAAATATCATTGAAATAAAATTGTGATATAATATTACGTAATATTATATTAAATAAGCAAATATAATATACAAAATAAATGACAAAATTTAAATATTGTTCTCAATAAAATTTACCAGTTTAACAATACAATCTACTATTACACACGTGTCATTCTATCTATGTTTATTCTATGATAAAAAAAACCAACCGCGCGAACACAGAGTAGCGCACATTTTTTGTTTGAGATAGCTATTCTAGTACGTAAGTACATATTACTTCAATGTTAATACCACAATATCTAAAATTAGCATTTTTATGAATTTTACCATTGGACTTGAAAGTACCAAATATTTTCCAGTCTCATTGAGAGACTAGCCACCTGCGCAAGAACTTAGTATAGTGCACTAATATGAGCGCCAACACAGACGCACGCTCTATGCTCTCACTCTCATAGTCTTATAGGAAGGTAATCCGATAAGACCGGGAGAAATCAGACACAGCACCAAAGGCTTTACGTGTTTTCCGAGGCATGGAGGTGAAACATGGCCTATGTTCACCCTGCCTAACACCCAAAAACTGATTTTGGCCTGACCGGGGATTTGAAAAATTATGAGCAGACACGCAGTCAACGAGGCAGTCAATAAGAGGATATAATACGTCCTCATCCTAAAGCTGGGCACAAGTTGCTTATTTTGTTTGCTTGCGTGCGTGCGAACGAGCGTGCGTGCGTACGTGCATGCGCACGCTTGCGCGTGCGCGCGTGTGTGGGTAACCTCAAAAATTCGAGTCTTTTAATTTTTCAAATAGCTATTTTCTTGAAATTACTTTAACACCCTTATTTTTATCAATTCTTTAATCTAATCAGCCCTTTTAACCAAAAAAAATTAATTGCTGAGAACCGCATCAAAATAGGTTGATACGTTCGAGAGATATCGGTTGTTTTATTCCTGAAATATTCAATTTTGAAAAAGTAACTTTTAATTTATATATTAGCGGAAAGTTAAGTTTAGTTTAGTTTCGTTAAGTTAAGTTAAGTTTATATGTTAGCGGAAGAAAGAAAGGATGGTCAGCAGGTCCGATTTTGTGGATTCTTTTTTATTTAAAAGCAGGTGATTCTTAGAATAAATCAAATACAAAACTCAAATTAATGGAACACAGTGTCACAAAAACCTAACAAGGTTTATCTGTACAGCATGATAAAAATCTGACCAGTAGTTTTTGAGTGATCCTTAATAATGCATGTTTTATTGACTTCGACTACATTGATGATGTTCTTATTTTAATGTTTACGTTTAGTGAAGTCGGTTGTATATTTTTTTTAATTTTGCCACTTGTTTTCAATATAATAGGGCACACGAGCATGCGGCTCACCTGATGGTAAGTGACTACCGCCGCCCATGAACAACTGCAACACCAGAAACATTAGTATTTGTGGCGGGCATTGCTCTTTGCGTGTTGGCGGCCATCGCATGCCCTTATCAATAACATTTAATTTTTAAGCAGTTTACTCACAATTATATTCCTTAACCAACGAGCACGTGGTTAATAGCAGTTAAAATGGCGATTAACAATTATATTAGGCTGACCGAGTTGAATTGAGAGTCATTGCTATTAGTAAATGAAACTAATAAAAATTATAACTTTTAACAAAAAGTAAAAACCGACTTTAGATTGATAAAAATGAAGTTATTTATTTGCAACAAATGTATATGGGACCACACTATATTATTGATGCAAAAAGAATAATAATTAAAATCGGTTCTATATCTGCGAAGATATCATATGAAATTCCTTAAACAATAGTCAAAACAATATGAAATTTTTTCCCTATTTTCCACCCTCGGGAGTGAAATTTTTCCCTCAAAATTTGATGAGACAACTCTTGTGGTAAAGCCTATTTAATTAAAAAAAAGAATTATTAAAATCGGTTCACAATCTGCGAAGATTGCGAACATACATACTTACAGAAAACATACACTCGTGTTGAGAACCTCCTCCTGTTTGAAGTCGGTTAAAACATTTAAAAACTCTTGAAACTATTAAGCGTCACAACCGAAAATGATACAACACTTGTTCGGCGCAAGTACTCCCTAAACAAGTAAGCTATTAACAAAAAAAATCTTTACAGCAAGAAATATGTATATTTTGTGGAGCTTATGACAGTGGAATAGTCTAAGAAATATCATTGATTTTGAAAAACATATTCAGTGATAGGTCACTCAATACGGTACGCAATTTCGTATTGTACGGCTGCTATTTTAGTTTTATAAAAACAAAATCTAATAAAAACCATCACACAGATCGATAAACACTACAAAATACCAGCGTGAAAGAGCAGCACAATGCTGTGTTTCGTAACGTTAGTGTAGAGAACCGGAGACCCTTCTTATTGATAACGAGGTATTTCATATTAGTCCTCAGGGGTGACAATGCATCTGCATTTTTATTCTTAATCGAGGATAGATGTAGATGGGCCACAGCATCGACTACTTCAAGAAAACTTATTGATTAAAATCCATCCAGCCGTTTAGATGCTTCAAGAATTGACTTATATATTACTAGCGTAAGGACCGGGCCGACCGAACAACTTAAACGGACCAGTGCGTTGGCCTTAAAATTACAGTTTAGGGCCAACGCGAATCGGCCAAATCGGCACAGTGGTGCGCGCGCAGGACAGATTTTTCTGTCATAAATATGTCTAGTTGCGTGGTAAAAGGATGCAAAAATTACGATACAAAGATTAAAAAGGAACATGGGATATCGTATCATACGTTGAAAACTTTATATTAATTTTATTACAATTAAATTATTATATAAACGCATTTTTAAAGTTTTATTTTACAGTTAGTTTAGTTACATTATATCGTCTAAGCTGAAATGACGCGCCCCACTATCGCATTAACGCACACAAGCAAATTTAAAATATGGACGCAATACATATACAAATGCCATTGTAATTGGTCATTCGGTTGTCGGTGAGACTCAAGCGTAGGAGCACGCGTCGTTCGATTGTAAAAGTACCGTCAGCATGTCGACCAAAAAACATTTACGGAGTCAAGTAAGTAAAATAATACGTTATTGCTTAAAATCTTATTTAATCATACATCGTTTTTATGGTGGTTTACATGCATACATTTTACAGGCAAAAGAAATTACTGCGAAAGTGTACCGCAGAATGAAATATGAAGCGGAAAATGGAGTGGAAAAACTATCTGACGCTAGATGGCGAACTGCTCAAGCCGTTGGTGTTAGTGAATCTACGATTACACGAATTTTGAAAGAAGAGAAGCAAGCTAGTACATCAAATGATACGTCACAAAAAATTTTTAGATCGCCCTCAAAACCAAAAAAGGAAGCGTACCAAGTCTAACCTGGATGATTTTGATATGGGTATACTTCGCAGAACGATAGCGACATTTCATACAGAATTTAATGAATTACCAACGTTAAGAAAGCTGAAACAAGTATTAACAGAAAGAATTGGTTTTAACGGTTGTATAGAAACTCTGCGTATCATTTTGAAGGAATCGGGCTACGAGTGGTCCAAAATAGATGACAACCGTAAAGCTTTAGTAGAAAAGCATGATATCCAAATGTTACGCTTTCAATATTTGAGGCAATTAAAAAAATATCGTGACGAGGGCCGCTATATCGTATACACAGATGAAAGTTATGTTCATACAACACATCTGCAAAACATGTGCTGGAAACCAGTCAAAGGAGTATCAGCGGTGCAAAAAAAGTTGTCGAAAGGTACTCGGGTCATAATTGTTCACGCTGGTGGATGTGAAGGATTTGTTCCAAATGCTAGTTTGGTGTATAAAGCAAACTACACAAGTGGAGATTACCACGAGAACATGAATCTGGATAATTATAAGAAATGGCTCACCACACAATTACTGCCCAATCTCCCGGTAAAGGCTGTCATCGTTGTGGATAACGCTTCTTACCACAATGCTTTATTAGAAAAAGCTCCCAACTCCAACTCAAATAAGCAAGTCATGCAAACGTGGCTTGCAGAAAAAAATATTCAGTTTGACGAATCAATGAAAAAAATTGAACTGTACGATCTTATTTTAAAAAATAAGGACAGATTCAAGAGGTTCGTTATTGACGAACTGATTCAATCAAAAGGGTTTGAAATTCTACGACTACCACCTTATCACCCGGAACTAAATCCAATTGAAAATATATGGGGGATATTAAAAAACTACGTGGCTAATAAAAATGTTTCACAAAATTTTACATCCATTATGTCACTTATAAATGAACGACTCGAAATGATTGATAGTACTATGTGGGCAAATGCATGTCGGCATGTTGAAGACACAGAAAAACAGTATTTGCAATATTTTGACATGGACTTTGAATTTATTATTTCTGTTAATGACTCTGATTCAGATGAAAGTGAATCTATGGAGATGAGTGAATAGTGATACTTTACATAATTTACATGCATATTATTATAGTAATTATACTAATTTGTAAAATAAATATTTCGAAAGAATATCAATCTGGTTTAATTAATCTACATAATTACAAAATAAAAACAATATATTTTGAACCATTAATTAACAAATAGAAGAAATACCATCATAATTAAATAATTTAACTTCAATTTCTTTGTAGACCGTATTTGCTAAGAAGCGGATTTTCTTGGATTTTTTGTCCAACTTGTCATAATTGCCTGAAGGTGGCAGAGAGCGGACGTTTTGTTTCATACAATGCCCCAACGCTGCTCCCTAAGGAGAGCGTTGTCGGATTTATCACGCGACTAGTCGACCGTCACGTAGGCATACAGATCATAGTTCGCGGAGCAGTCGACGCTCAAACACAGATGAAGCGTCGTTATTAATATTTACACTCACACATCGAAATCAACTAATTAAGTAGTGGGGCGTGTCATTTCAGTTTAGACAAGCTCTTACCAAGATTAGGCCAGGGTTGGATTCGGACCCTCAAAAATATTTTACATGCAAAATAAAATTATACTATGTTTAAAATATTATATCACCTTTGACGTTTCATGTTTCTTTTTTCCCGTGTGCCGGGATTTTGGCGTCACGCGTCTAGTTTATACGTATGTATCGTTTTATGATGGTTTTATTTTTATTTCTGTTTTATTTTTGTCTAAAGAACTAAGTGTAAGTAAAATTTTGAATATTGGTACCTAATATATTTTATATTCAATAAGGGTAAAACAAAAAGAGTACAAAACAAACCATATCTGCTTAATTGAATCTGAAAATCTGATTCATAAAATATTTTGAAATTTTATTTTCAAACATAATTGCTTCTGGAGCATAGAGTTTTTATCGTGGTAGCCCCTCATTATAGTTGTATCATGGATGCAACATAAATGCATCGATCGAGCACCGATTGACAGAAGAGGAGTTGATTCTAATTTTATTTAAAAAACGCGGTACCCATGTACAATACAGAAATTCTCGATATCGTAGGGTTAATGTTAAAAAGCAAAAGGACCCAATAATAATACAAGTCGACCTTCAGGTAAAATTATGGTATTTTCGCTTAGTATTATTACGATATTATATAGGTACTACAAACTATGAAATAATGGTACAATCCGGATAATTATTATACTACGAAATCGCTGACGACGACGAATGCGAATGCGCTACTTTTTCTCGTATGAAAAAGTTATGAGTAAAATATAAGAAGGAAGGATAGGCCATCCTTCCTTTTGAAATCATTGGTTACAAGGGGATAAAGAATCCCACATACATACCTAGATACGCATGAAGCGCACAATCCTGTCCTTGCTGTCACGCAGTCGGGTGAAATTAAAAAGTAAAAATAGGCAAAAGTACCTTGCGGTCGCGACTTCCGGCGATATAAGTGATCTGTTGATGTCCTCCGACATGTCTGAGCTGAGCTCACTATAATTTTACCAACATTCTTTACAATTTTTCCAAGTTTAATTCAAACTATCAAGCATAATTTGCTTGTTTTATTAATTTCTAAAGCCAATAGCTTATCATTTAACCTCATACATAACATGTAATATGAAACGACAAATGTTTGATACATCATGTTTGATAGACTTTATTGGTTCTTCTGTTCTAACCAAAGAGTATTGATTCACGTTTTAGTTGTGACCAAAGACTACTAGAGACGATGCAGATGCTAAGGTAAACCTTTTGCTAGCATTGTAAGCGGAGCGGAGTAAAACTCTGAAGTCATAACTATCTATATTTCAACAAAAGATTCAATCAAATGGTGTGACATTGCGCAGATGTAAATTAATCAGCTTATCTAATCAATTTTAATTATCAGCTCATAATAAATATTGAGCCATAAATATTGCCGAAAAATTATGTAAATTGGCCTACGGGTTACGGAGGAGATAGATTTCAAAGAATCGTTTTCTTGCGCCATGGGAGCTCCGCTCCAATTAATTCACGTTTTAGTTGTGACAATTATTGCATGAGGGTTAATGTCGTTCTCACGCTCAACACATGTCGGTAGTTGGTACTAAGGTGGACTTATTTGTTACGTAGATGCTCACACAGTGTTATCATCATTGAAAAGTTGCGTTTCAATTAAAAGATTTGAGATTGCTAGTATATGTACTCCTAAAACACTCGTACAAAAAATCCTCATTGCTATGTATCTTCTTCAATTTCTTAGATATTTTTAACTTTTTTTAAAATTCTTCTACTTTAAGGAATATCCGTAGTTTGCTTAATCCATTTTTAATCAAATAAATATAAAATGTAACTAATATTTTCGACAGAAACATTAACCTTTACACTCTTCAGCTTTACTTCCCCCACTATGAAATCTGTCAAACATTTTACCCCATTCCTAAGTGACGTCACTTTCGTGGCAGAAAAAAACGTCGATGCCCTCATTGAAGAGTTAAGGTTATATAATTATAGTCTTTGATCATTATCTATATAATATATAGACTTTGATCATTATCTATATATTATATAGATAATGATCAAAGACTATAATTATAACCGCGATCACGGCTTTATGTGGTACCTGGCCTCTACTACGGGTTTTGGTTCAAGTTTCATCCGTAAGTTATATTTGAGTAAAAAAAAATTTAAATCACAAAAAACCTCTGTCTTGGGAAGAACCAGCAAGAAACACAGCGGGACATTTCTTTTAAAAAGAATAAATATACCTACAATATATAACTTCAACATTGTTTGTCCCCCCCTTATCTCCGACACTGCCTAGACTACATCCAATGTCATCGTAAAGTTAGGTACATCGAGTACAGGCCGTTTAGCGCGGCGAGTGATTGTAGTACATACAATCAGCATTGACACCTGACTCTTTTACAATATTCAAACTTAGTGTCCAAGCTAATGGAATTTTAGTTAGTTCAGATTAGTCAAGCACAATTATTCGTGCTTAAAAAACCCTAAACCGATTAAAAATATTTTTTCTTTAAAATATAAATATTATTTTTATAAGATCAAGTTATTGTAAACTTCTAGTGTATACACGCTATATGATTTACGTGTTTTCTCTATCTATCTCCATACAGTTGGATAATTAATGTTTTAATTATCTTTAATCAGTTCGATGTTACGTAGTTATCATCCAATGTTACATCCGAGCCGGAACGCTTTGATAGTCACGTATTAAGGTTTTTTTTGGTATTTTGTAATTTTCCGATGGTTATCAGTCTATCCAGTCTAAGATACACTTCACTTTTCTTGTCATCCGTTTTAGTGCTGTGGAATTCTCTTTCATTGCTGTGATCGGTAGAATAGAATAGAATAGAGATGAGGACGTTGTCTATTGATTGTTGTGCTCATTGAAAACTTATTTTAAGCCTCTATTTAGTAAACATTGGTATTATTTTTTTTATTATTATGGTTCTGGGATTTTTTTGTCATAAGTGGTGGAGCTGTAGCTCCAGGGGCACATTATGGTTGTAGCACGAATGGGTCGGCACAACCACTCCACGCTCTTACAGAATACAATTGTAATGTCTTTCGTATGGTGAGTGTAGAAAACCGAAAACCATTTTTACAGGAAGCTAGGCATGAGACGTTATGATTTTCTTAATTGAGTATAAATATACATGTACTTGAGCCACAGCATCCATTTACCATCAGGTGAAGTGTATGATTATTTGCATTTTTCTATAAAAAAGTATATAATTATAATTCTGAATCCAATGGATAAAAATGTAATATTAAATTAAACCATTATGTAGATAATAATGCCCCGAGAATAAAATAGATTTCTATATTCCAAGTAATGCTTACTGAAAGTATTTCTTTTCCTTTACTACTGCACTGGTTCGGAAAAACCTCTGTTCTGGAAAGAACCAACAGGAAACACAGCGGAACGTTTTCTGGACTTTTTTAAAAGAAAAATACAATCTAATTTGTTACACAGCAGTTAACAACACAAAACGAATAAGAAGTAGCTTGGTAGCGACCAACCACAGAAATCTAAATAATAAGACAATAGATTTCCGCGCGACCAACTCATTCCCAGGGGTTATTATCAACCGTGTGTTCATTTATATTACAATAACCATTTTTATACAGGTTTTGTGTAACAAAATATTTAAAGTGGATAATAGAGAGAGCTTGTACATTTTCTGGGATTTTGTTGAAATATATATGTACATTGCCCCATGACTGAATTACTGAGTCTGTGGAGTCGATTTAAGGACGACTTAAGGATTATGTCTATTTGCCACATCATCCACTTACGGTCAGGTGGACTGTGTAGATACTCGTTTGTTCACCCTTATCCTATAAAAACAATCCATCACTTCGTCCCGTGGGTGTCGTTTGAGGCGACAGTGGGATATGCCAGAAAGATATTATGGTTTCTGAGAGGTAGCGGTATAACCATCTTGTCTAATTCAGGCGTAAAATAGCAAGACCAGCGACGGGGAGCAGCATTATCGTTACTGTTACAGCCTATTAAAGTCCACTGCTGAACACAGGCCTTCCCTATAGATTGCCTCATAGGGGGACATATTTGCCATAGTTGTAATGTTACTGTTGATTTAATAATTTCACCTCTCAGTGGGTCATGTGCTCCTGGTAGATTATCTTATATACATATCCATCCATTACTCCTATTGCTGAACACAGGCCTCCCCCATGGATTGCCTCATAGGGGGGATATTTGCCATAATTGCCACGCTTGGTAAGTGAGTTGGCAACCGCAGTTTTTTACATGGAAGATGCTGCTGCCCATCTTCTGTTTAAGTTTCCCTGTATCACCTCTCACGACACCCACGGTACGATATGGGATAGGAAGTGGGATATTCTTCCAGCGACATTTCAAGGAGCAGGGAGCGGCATTTAAAGAACGAAACTGCGGTCACCAATGTCCCTGCGATTAAGGAAAGTATTCCCTACAATGAAAGAGACGCTAGACGCGAATGAAAAAGACGCCCACCTGTAGCCTTTTACATGATGAA